TTTTTTTTTTCTTCTTCCCAGCCTTCTCCTCTCTGATCTTCCTAATCTCCTCCCTAGTTTGGGGGTATAGCTTTTTAATCACTTTTTAAAAACCCTTCTTCTCCTTATTCCCCTGATGGGAAGAGTCACAGCCTTTGAGAAAGGGGTCCCCCGTGCTTCTTTGCGAGATTCTATACAGGCCTCGCAAAACTCCTTTTTCCTTTTTCTTAAAACTGTGTCCTCATTATTGGATTGGCATCAAGGTCAAGGACTGAGTTTTCAGTAATAATATGACATATATCCTTATATTTGATTAGCTCTAAAAGAACACATTTAAGAGTATCTGCCACTGGGGGAAGGGAATTGGGAACAAGAGAGTGAGGAAAACTTGACTTTACTCTATGCCATTTTGTATGGTTTGATTTAATCATATGCTTTTTTACTTATAAAACTTTTAACATGAGAAGAGGGCATGGAGTGTTGAGAATGTAGCTTAGTAATAGTGCACTTGTCTAGCATGAGTGAGGCTCTGGGTTTGATCCCCAGCACMACAAAGAAAAAAAAAAGGTATAAAAAGAACAAAGYAGGAGGCATTATACTGGTGACTTCAAAATATATACAAAGCTATGGTAATCAAAACAGTATGGTATTAGCATTAAAAAAAAAAGACATATAGACCAAATTAACAGAATACAGACCCTAGAGATAAACCCAAGCATCSATAACCAACTGATTTTTGACAAAAGTGCTCAGAACATCCACTAGGGAAAGTACAGTTTCTTCAATAAACAGTTCTTGGAAAATTGAATAACTACATGCAAACTAACTGAATAATATCTACCTCCCCACCCTCTCTCCAAATCAACTCAAAAGGGATTAAAGCCTTAAATGTAAGACCCAAAAGAAAAATCTCTAAAAGAAAATGGGAGAAACACATCAGGACATTGGAATGGACAAATGTTCTTGGTTATAATCACAAAAGCACATGCMAAAAAAAGCAAAAATAGACAGTTAGATCATATCAAACAAAATCTTCTATACAACAAAGAGAACAATCTACAGAAGGGGGACACAACCTACAAAATGGAGTAAAATATTTGCAAACTATACATCTGACAAGGAGTTGATATTCAGAATATATAGGAAATTCAAACAATTCTATGGCAAAAAATGCAAAAACCCCAAACAATTCAATTTTTAAAATGGTTTATATGCCTAAATAGACATTCTCAAAAAAGACATACAAGTGGCCAAGAGGTATATGAAAAAAAAATACTCAACCAATCGGCAGGGAAAGGCAAGAACTATATTGGGATATCYTCTCATCCCATTTAGAATAGCCATTATCAAAAAGACAAAAAATAAATAAATAAATAAACGCCAGCAAGGATTTGGAGAAAGGGGAAAATCTCATAAACTGTTGGTAGGAATGTAAATTAGTACAACCATTTTGGAAAACAGTATGGAGAATCCTCAAAAACTAGAAATAGAATTACCAGCAAGTATAATACTGGGTATATGTCCAAAGGAAATTAGTGTATAAAAGATATGTATGTATGCCCATGTTTATTGCAACACTAGTAGCCAAGAAATAGAATCAATCTAACTGTTCATCAACTGATGGATGGGCAAAGAAAATATGGTGTACATACAATGGAATACTATTCAGTCTTTTAAAAAGAACAAAATCTTGTCATTTGTGGAAACATGGATAGAACTAAAGGACATTAAGTGGAATAAGCCACCATGGAAAGAGAAATACTGAATGACCTCATTCAGTGGAATCTAAAAAAGTTGATTTCATAGAAGTAGAGAGTATAATAGTGGTTGCCAGAGCCTGGAGAGTATAGGAATGAGGGAAGGATGTGGATAGGTTGGTCCAAGGAGGTCCAAGAATAACTAAGTTAGTTATAGTTAGATAAGAGAAATCAATTCTAGTGTTGTATTACACAGTAGAGTGACTGTAGATAAAGATAAGGTACTATATTTTTCAAAGAAGCTAGAAGAAAGAACTTTGAATGTTTGTATCACAAAGAAATGATGTTGAGGAGATATATGGGCTTACTCTGATTAAACAATGTGTACGTTTACTGAAACATCATATGTAACCCCATAAATACGTACAATTTTTATGTGTCAATTTAATAAGAGAGTAGAAGGTAAAGTTCTTGGTTGGGTCTTTCTTTCACTCTTTTTCTTTGACACCTGGGACATAGCTCTTCCTGRTTTCCTCTTACTTTGGACCTTTCCATTATCTTTGCAGATTCTTTCTTTAAAATGTGCCTTAAATTCATGGATGAAATAAATATTTATTGCATACTTATTATGTGCAAGGCACTATTCTAAGAACTGGAGAGGCATAATAATAAATGAAATAGCAAAGAGTCTGTTCTCATGGAAGTTACACACTGGTARTGTAGAAGACCTCTCCTAAGATTACATCTATCAGTTCCTTCTTCCATGTATACAAATGCCACTCTAARCATCAAGAGATGGAGACTTTTTCTTCTCCCCCAAATATGGGTCAACCCTGTTATTTATTTATTTATTTATTTACTTACTTACTTTTTTTGGTACAAGGGATTAAAACCAGGGAGGCTTAACCACTGAGCCACATCCCCAGCCCTTTTCATTTCTTTATTTTTGAGACAGGCCTCACTAAATTGCTGAGACTGGRCTGGCCTCAAACTTGTGATCTTCCTGCCTCAGCCTCCCAAGTCACTGAGATTATAGGCATGTGCCACTATACCTGGCAATTTTTTWAAAAAAATTTTCTGTAGTTGTATATGGACAGAATGCCTTTAATTTATTTGTTTTATTTTTATGTGCTGCTGAGGATCAAACGCAGTGCCTCACGCATGCTAGGCAAGTGCTCTGCCAGTGAGCTACAGCCCCAGCCCCTGGCAATTTTATTTTAACTGATATATTGCAATAGAAATTAAGTTCTAGGATTTCTGGATCAAGAGTTTAAGTAAACTGGCAACTTTCACATCCTCTCTGAGAAGCCAACTACCATGTTCTTCAGCCATAGCACGGGCCAATAAGAAACAATGTGAAGACAGAAGCCACATTCAGGAACACTGAGGTGCCAGAGTGTAGCTTTCTGAGACCTTCCAGGCTACTCAGTCACCAAATGAATGCAGGTGAGTAAGATGGGCCAAGGCAAAGTAGGTCAGAAAATCAGCCTAGTCAAGCCTTGCCTGAATTCCTGACTCAAATTCCTGAGGAATGATAAGTTATTGCTTTAAGCCACTAAGTTTGGGATGATTGATTATGCTGAAACAAGTGATAAAACTGTGAGATAATAAATATAAAATAGGTAGTGACTACAGCTATTAAAAAATAGGACAATAAATAAAAAGAACATGTTGGAGCCAGAGAGCATGCATTCAAATTTCAATTCCATCACTTGGTTTTGYAACTTTGGAGCAAGTTATTTAAGGTCTGTATGCCTTAGTTTCTTCATCCATAAAAYGGGAATAGTAACATTGTCTATATAGGGTGATGTGAGGATTAGATGATTTACTATCTGTGAAGTGCTTACAATGATACCTGGCATATAGCGAATGCTATATGTTCTATGTGATGTTGTTGTTATTAAAAAAGGTATAGGGATAGAAGGGAAAGGGTGCTGCTTTTTATAAAGTAAAAAGCTTTCTTTTAAGAAGACATCTGAGCGGTGGTGCACGCCTGTAATCCTAGTGGCTGGGGAGGCTGAGGCAGGAGGATCGAGAGTTCAAAGCCAGCCTCAGCAACTGAGACACTGTCTCTAAATAAAATTCAAAAAGGGCTGGGGATGTGGCTCAGTGGTTAAGTGCCCCTGGGTTCAATCCCCAGTGAAGAAGGAGAAGGAGAAGGAGACAACATCTGAAAAGAGACATGTAAGGAAGTGAGAGCATGAACCTGTGGACACCTGGCACTCCAGGCAAAGGGAGCAAGTGATTGCAAAGGCAGGGAGGGCAGTACTGTTAGAGATGCATGATAAAGGTTCAAAGAGTCTGAATGAGGCTAAAGATAAATGAAAAAAGAATAGAAAGGTATGAGATAAGATCASGTTGACAATGATGTGGTAGTGAGGCAATCATTTGGGTCTATGGGTTTATCTGATGTTCCTGACTCTTAGAGGGCTTTGAGCAGATGGTGTTAGAGGCTGGCTTTCTTTCTTTCTTTTTTTTGAGCAGGGGTGGTACTGGGGATTGAACTCAGGGGCACTTGACCACTGAGCCACATCTCCATCCCTTTTTGTATTTTATTTAGAGACAGGGTCTCACTGAGTTGCTTAGTGCCTTGCTTTTGCTGGGGGCAGGYTTTGAACTCAYGATCCTCCTGCCTCAGCCTCCCAARCTGCTGGGATTACAGGTGTGCACCACCTCACATGACTGGTTTCCTTTTTCAGAAGGATAGCTCTTCTACCAAATGGAGAGTGAAGAATAGAGTGAATAAGTGGAAGCAGGGACATCAGTGAGAGACTATTAGAATAGTTGAGGCAAACRGTCACTATGGCTTAACCCTGAGTGGCAATGGAGGAGAAGGTCAAAGTGTTACAGAGCCATTGATGGTGGTGCACACCTATAATCCCCAGGGGCCTAGGCAGGAGGATCTCAAGTTCAAAGCCATTTAGGGCCTCAGCAATTTGGAAGGCCCTAAGCAATTTAGCAAGACCCTGTCTCTAAATAAAATATTTTTAAAAAAGGGCTGGGGCTGTGGTTCAGTGATTAAGGCCCCTGGGTTCAATTCCTAGTACCAAAAAAAAAAAAAAAAAAAAAAATGTATTACAGAGCAAGGGCCTGCAGTAAAGCCAAGGCAATCATGGAGGTCCTCAGTTACTGGTTCTTATAATTATGCCAGAAAGATTTCAGATGTATCGCTCAGAGGAATAGGCATGAGGGATAGGAAAAGGGACAAAAAGGACACTCTCAAGGGAGAGAGTAGGTCCTCTCAGAGAGGAAAAGAATGGTGCACCCCTYCTACCCTCCAGATTTATTGGTGGGGGTGGGGCTGAGGGAAATTTCCAGAGAGTCCTACCCAAATCACCTCTTGACTTCTGACTGATAGCAGGATTGCATCAGTCTGTCAAGTCCCCACTTCACAGGGCCTTACCCCATGGAAGAGAGATCTTATTATTATGATGGCATGCCAAAAATCCAAGGCAACTCTGAGTTGGCCCACATTAACTGGTTGTTATGTTCATCTCTCCTTGAATTCTGAAATCTGGTTGGTGTAAAGGTCACAAAAGTCACCCTTCTCCTTTAGGGTAACTTGTGCTTTTCTTATCAGTAGAGAGGAGTTTGGGGATCTGCATATCGCCTGAAGATAAGAGTTGTTTGCTAAAAAAATGTAATATATCCTATTGAATTATACTAGGCAGGGCTGCACATAAATTGCTTTTTAAAGGAAAGCATGTTGGGGTCAGTCAACTCGCTAGGCYCAATTTACAGAATTATCCCTTGAACCTCATGTTCCCACTGCTCATTTCTGTTACCTATTRAAAGGAGTTAKATTCTGGATATAATTTGAAGGTAGGGGCTACACTATTTGTTCATGGATTAATTACAAGCTTTGAGAGAAAGAAAGGACTTAAGACCTGAGTTTTTGGTAAAAATGAGCCATCATTTATTATGTTAAATRACAAAATTGCAACAACTTATTTTAAAATCTCCTCCTCCTCCTCYTYYTTYTYYYCYYCCTCCTCCTCCTCYTCTTYTTYTTCTTCYTCYTCTTCTTTTTGTTGCCCTGTTCCTAAAAGTACTGCAGTACCAGGTGGATGCATGGAGTGGATGGAGAAAACTCCTGTTCCCTTTCCCTTCTTCAAAAATCCATTAACTATGTTGTCCTCATATACAGGAAATATCAGATAGCGAGTTGTAAATTGATAAGGACAGATACTACACTTGATCTTCCCCAAAAGGTCAAGAAGGATAGTTTAAAGATCTTAATTGGCTTTATTTTTGATTCTAGAGTTAGGCAACATTGCATTCCATAAGTAGAATAAGTGTTCCAGGGTACTGAGTAGTACCAGCTTGGTATTACAGAAAGATAAAGGTTGAAAAAAGCAGCAACAAAGAAGACAAAGTAGGCTGCTCATTTCAAGTTACTTCCTTTCGAGGCAGAGACAAAATAGAAAAATAACTGACTAGTTAATATCAGGTTATTTTGAGGCATTTCTTTTGTGTAAAGCTTAACTTTATTATTATGAACTATTAGGAAATTCTGCTTTTATCTCTCTAATGCTGATTTCTCTGAAGTTTAGATAAACAGTTTATTTTCAGATTGGTGATGTGGAAATATAAGGTCAATAAGTCCATTTTGATTTCTATCCCGGTCGTTTAGGTTCTAGTACAGAAGCCTGTTCCAAACAAGGCTTCCTATAATTTTTATTTAATACTGAGATAGRAAAGACTGGGAAAACAGTATGCTTGGGGAGGTAGTGAGGTTGGATATCAGAACTGGATATGTCATATATTTTGTATTGTTATTAGACATCTGAATGGACATATCAAATAGACAGTTGAGGAGATGATCTTGTTGAGAGAAAAATCCAGGCTAGAGATATAACTTGAGAAGTCGTTGAAAAAGAAAAGCAACCTGAGGCCTGAGCTCTGAGACATTCTTCTAGAGACAGAGAAGATGAGGCGGCCCTAGCCCAGGCTCCCGCTGGGTTCTCTGAGGGAACAAGTGACCTGTGTTTGAGAAACAGAAAGAAGGCCAAATTAGCAGAGAATGGGTGAAAGGGAAGAAGAGTAGAAAAATGAACTTGTAATGACCATGGAAATGTTGGTAAGCCATTGTATGAGTTTGTATTTTGTTCAAAATGCATGAGAAAGTTTTCTTCCCCTGCTCTCATCCCAGGACCTTGGGCATAATAGGCAAGGACTTGACCACTGTGCTACATCCCCAGCCCTGAGAAAGTTATAAGGAGGAGAATGATTTGATCTGATCCAAATTTTAAAAAGTTGATTCTGGCTCATGCTCCAAGTATATGTCCCATTTATTTACACAGAATATTAAAAAGATGCTTAGTTAAGGGCTGAGTCCTAATACAAATAGTTACTTGTTTAAGTTCATTGGGGGTGAATAGATACAGGARGATCAGAATGGAAGCAGAGAGACGCAGTATGTTCTTGCATTAGGCCAGATGAGAAATGGTGATGCCTTGAACTGGGGACAGAGCAGTATGAGCACAGAATAAGACACATCTGAGTGGTTCTCTGGAGGACTGACTAATGGATGACACATGAGATTTGGCTGAGATTTTGGAAGGGGGCACCCACCTCTCGCTGACATCTGGGAGCATTTTACTGTATGGCAGAACTTCATGCAAGATATTGGCCAAAATGAGGAGCAAAGACCTGCAGATGACATGTGGTAATTCAGGGGATGATTTAAATAGAAACGCTTCCACTCATCTCATACCAAAAAATAATTAGTGGATTGAATGACTAATCACCAGATGTAGGTAAGCAGATGCTAACTTGTTATTTTTAGAATGGAAGCACATGCTATATGAGGATAGTTGAGACGCATACTCATAAATCCTATATTATGACAGGTAAGTAATTAGATATTAGAGCAGCTTTTTTTTTTTTTTTTTTTTGGTGTGGTACTGGGAATTGAACCCAGGGGTGTGCGCTACCACTGYGTCACATCCCTTGTCCTTTTTATTCTGAGATAGGATCTTGCAAAATTGCCCAGATTGGTCTTGAATTTGTGATCCTCATGCCTCTGCCTCCTGAATAGCTGGGATTACAGGAGTGTGCCACACACAGACTACAGGAAGCATATTTAAATAATAATATGTTTAATATTTAAATAATATAAATAAATATTTAAATAATATTTAAATATCCATGTTTAAATAAAACTTCTTTTAAATCTGAATTACTTTATATAGTATGTGYATAACACTGCTACAATTATTTCTTATTGTCTCAGTTTTGTTGACAAAATCTATTCTATTGATATATCTTGGCATTTTGATCTCAAACTTATCATTACAAGTTGCTTTTTTTTTTTTTGGTTTGTTTTACTAGTTTGGGGCTAAAGAACTTCTTTTGTTGTTGTTGTTGATGTGTTACAATGTATAACATGTACATTTTTCTGAAATATTTTTTAAAAAGCATTAGGTTCCCAATCTACAAAAAATAAAAATAAAAATAAAAAACAAGAAAGAAAGATTTTGCAAGAGAATTATTTAAAAYGTAGAACACATTTTCCCATATAAATAGTAAGGAACTTGAGGAGTAGCTTGGTGGTAAAGTGCTTACCTATCATATTCAAGGTTCTGGGTTCAATCCCCAGGACCAAAAAAGAAAATCATAGGTACAGTGAGGTAAATAAATATTTAATTTCTGTTAACTTATAAATGTTATTTGTGGTTATAATATTATTTATGATGTCACTCCTTTATGAAAACAATACTTTTGCAATATTTTGTAGTTAAAGAAACAAGAAGAAAAATTGTTTGATTTTGAGTGAGTCATTTTTCATGAATGCTGGTCCTTGTAGAAAAGCAGATTTTAAGGGACCGTGAAGAGTTTCTGGGAGGTGGTGCAGTTGAGGAGGGAAGAGAAGCAAGGATGTACAAACAGAGAGCAGAGTCCTATCCAGCCACATTGGAGCCTGAAGCAGAAGAGAAAATGTGCCCTAATAGAACAGGTATCCTTTCCCCAGATTTTGCARGGAGGTTAATGGAGATTGATCCTAGGGGTGTTCTACCACTGAGCTACACCCCCAATCCTTTTTATTTTGAGGCCTCAAACTTGTGATCCTTCTATCTCAGTTTCTTGGGTCCCTGGGATTAACAACMCCACTCCCGGCATCCTCCTGTATTTTGAATCAAGTGGAAAAAGTCAACAAAAGCTCTACAATTTAGAAAAATGTCTATACATAAGGCCCCACGATGTCCATATGTTCTCATACTACTATCAACTCTCATAAACCTGCCCTGTGGTRGGGGATTGTGATGATGTCAGAGTGGTAGGGGGACAGTGGGTGCACCAGGTGTCCAGCAGCCTGCAAACCTTACTGGCTCAGGATTGGAAAGGATGTTCCCTTTGCATAATCACATGGGTTTTGAAACAGGCCACCTGTTTATATTTAAAATTCAGATACTGTATTTTTTTAAAAACATTTTATTGGGTTGTTAATAGACCTTTATTTATTTATTTTTATGTGGTACTGAGAATCAAACCCAGTGCCTCACACATGCCAAGCCAGTGCTCTACCACTGAGTCACAACTCAAACCCCCAGATATTATATTATTTTTTTAATCTCTTTTTTTTTTGTGTGTGTGTGTGTGGTGCTGGGGATTGAACCCAAGGCCTTGTGCATGTGAGGTAAGCACTCTACCAACTGAGCTATCTCCCCAGCCCCTCAGATATTGTATTTTGTTCATCAGGAATGTTTATGTATTTTTAGCTTAATTTTTAGAAATACTGCATCACACAATTATTTATTTATTATTTTTATTACTGAGTGGGTTTTGGGGCCCCTTGTTTCTCATCTCAACCCCACACSGGGTGGAAGCAGTAGGAAAGGAAGCTGCAAATGTCTCCCCCTAGAAAACCCTCACTCTTTTCCTTTCTTTCTTCTTCCCTCCTTCCTTTCCTCTCTTTCTTTCTTTTTTTCTTTCTCCCTTTCTTGTTTTCTTGCTCTCTTTCTGTCTGCCCGCCTCCCCCCCCACCCCCCCACACTGCTATCTTTTCTTATTGTGGGTCTGTGTCTCCCTCCCTGGTTGTTAAAGAAGTTTATCAGGTACTGGGGGCTAGGAACTGGAAAGAGGACAGTATTTCTGAAGTCCAAGTAGCCTAAGCAGTTTGAATAAGGTTTTGAAATGCTCAACTTTAAAAATCATGGTTAGTGTCAGGCATGGTAGCRCATACCTGTAATCCCAGCAGTTCAGGARGCTCAGGCAGGACAGCCTCAGCAAYTTAGGAGAGGACTGAAGCAACACAATGAGACTCTGTTTCAAAATAAACCAGGAGGGTGGCTCAGTGGTAGACCACCCCTGGGTTCAATCCCAGTACTAAAAACAAACAAACAAAAAAARTCATGATTAACTCTTCCACATTTCCAAGCWTGGGGGCCAAGAGTGGGTGGCCTGGCTCTAGTAGCTGCCAGGTTTACATATGTTGATAAAGGCATTTGGAGGAATAAGAAAAGATTTAAAGCAGCTTGGTAGGAAGAAGAAGAAATATTCCTTTAAAAGGATGTATGCAAGTGTGAAAAAAACGATTGCCTGAGGTGGAATCAACTTGGCTATGGGTAGCTAAATCCAGGGAAAGTTGGGGTGGGTGGAGAGACTGGGATTTGAAGCACATTGTCTGAGRAAAAAGTTGAGTAGGAAGAGTTTTTAGTCAGTTCTTCACCCTGRCCACAGAGTGGTGCTGTTGGAACAAGACTGTCTTCACTTGGACTTGGCCAGGGGGCCTCAGGAACCCTGGGAATGGAGATGAGGAGAGAGAGGCTCAGAGATCTGACCCACAATTTGTGAATATCAGAAATTTACAAGTCAGGATATTGTAACGTGCATTTATTTGCATTTATGTAGACACAGTAAGTACCTATTTTAAAGTAGAAATAACTTCCAGTAGATGTTTTTCAAACATTCCTAAAACCACTGCTTTTAAACTGCAGAGTGCTCTGAACTTCACTGTGACAAAAGGATGTTTCCAGCTAGACCATTTTACCCTGACAYAGAAGAAACTTCAGGACAATGTTAGAGGTAATTGGAGCATTTTAACGCATTCAGAGAAATTAACAGTAACTAGTTGGACAAAGGTATCATTATTATTATTATTTTTTTCTTTGTGGTGCTCGGAGTCAAACCCATCAAGATGAGGTAAGCCCTCTACCACTGACCTGCACCCCCAGCCCAGGTATCATTATTCTTTAGACACAGACTGAGCACATATGTAGTGG